CGTGACTCATTATACACCGACTCTAGTTTCTATGTGTCCCACACATGAATTTTTGCAATGTGATCAATATCTATGTGTCGGACACATAGGGGAAATGTTGGCTTCGGCAATACCTTAACCTATTATCGTCAGGGGCGTAAACAAAGTCCTAGAGCACTCAAATTTGGCCAATAGTTGCTCTGAAACACAATGTATCCACATGCCCACATGCCAAAATTGAGCTCTCAAGAACGTTGTTTACCCCCCTGACGATAATAGGTTAAGGTATTGCCGAAGCCAACTTTTCCCCAACTTAATATGTGTACACATAAAAGCCATATGTAACCACACATACTATTCTTTTGACTCATAAATTTCATGTGTGCTTCTAGGTGGATTCTGTTTATGTGTCACATGAAAATCATGTGGAATTTTACATGGAAATTCGCCAATAAAAATGTGTGGAATTCAATTAGTGTAGAGGTAACTCTCCAGTCTGGACAGCGTTCAATAGTACGTTCAAACGCTGGCCAGACTGGAGAGTTATAACATGTTGTAATGGTTGTAAAATAATTGCAAGACAGAAAGCACCATCAAGATAGCGCTATAATATGTTATAACTCTGTAGTCTGAACGTACTATCAGACTACAGAGTTATAACATGTTATAGCGCTATCTTGATGGTGGTTTCTGTGTTGCAATTATTTGACAACCGTTCACGGATACGAATTTTGTTCATTTAAAACAAAAATATAAATGTTTATACTCTAAACATATGAATTATTCAAAGTAAATTGAAAGCATGTTTAAAACTAAAATATTTATGTTTGAATTAAATTCAAAAGTATGTTTATTTCAACAATATAGGATTTGGGTGAACGATTTTTAGCGTGTCATGCCTTTTTATTTCCTTCTTGTTACATCCGGAAAAAGTTGCCCCACAAACAAAAAACGACCCGAAAGTGGCAAAACCGAAGATAGATTCGGAGTCCAGCTCCACAAAACCAGCGGAACCCCACAGTATCAACTTCAGTTTCTGATGCACGTAACTTCGAAAGGACAACGAAAATCCGAAATGGATTTTGAATCCATTCCGGATACTCCTCCGACACCGAACGTACGAAGAAACCGGTATGAGGACTGGCTGTGAAATTTTCTGACCATCTAAAGTTTAGATTTGGATAAATGTGCACCTCCAGGGCTGAAACGAAAAAACGAAGCTAATATCACAATTTTTCACCGGTTCCACTGAACTGGAACCCCCGGACACCCACTCGGACAGGGTGAAAGAACAGGCATTTAGATGCCCTGCCCGAAGATCTTTTGTTTTTCATTTCTTTGCAATCCGTTTTATCTTGCTTTACCCTGCACTCAACTATTAAAATAATTTCAAAATATGTACGTTTATTTTTAAACATGAGAAGCATGTTTAAAATTAACATATTTATTTTTGTTCACATAGCTGTCAAACCAAACAAAAACAAATACGTTTGTTTTCAACATGAATATTTTTAAAATCAACGTAACATTATTTTTATTTTAAACATTGATTTCACATGACTTCAAACATGGAATACGTTTGAAATCAACCTAATTTGTGGCCAGAACAAACTGAGTTTACGTTTAAATTTACCTCAAATATTTTTGTTTCCACGATAGGTTTTTCTGCGTGTTATAACATGTTATAACCAACAATCAATACGAAACTAACGATTTTAAATTGGCTCACCACTTTAGTAGCCTATTGGTCCCAAGCAAACGATTAACGTACCCTATTCTAGTTGAAATTCTATTACTACACTATGTTTGTTTTGATTCGCTATGAAAGTTTGACAGATAACATCAGGGGTGTGTGGATTCATGCAGAACATGCAGGGGTGAGTGAAATAGCTTGGGACTGCTTGGGACCGTTGTTCTGGTACTGAGTGAGCCAAAAATAATAATGATTTTCTTCGGGACCCTGTGGTCTTAGAGTTACCTCTATGTTATAACTCTCCAGTCTGTACTAAAGCCCTACAGTAAAAGTATGGACGTCTGTCAAAAGTTGTTCCAATCGAACCGTCAAAATTAGAAATACTCAGAGGGAGAGATAGGCGGAGAAAACCGAGGAGAAAACAAAATACAATTCGGCAGCAGGGATTTGTTCCTAAATAATCTTGCAACCCTTGCTAGAAGCTAACATTTCACATGACTTGTATTTTTGATTCGATTTAGGTGCAAAATAATAATTATTGATTGCATCGCAATATTTTGCACATTTCTTGGTGCCATTCGTTAACCGGTGAAGATCAATTAATCAATAGAGTTAGAATATTGCTTTTGATTCCAAAAACTAGTTGAATTTGAGAAGCACACAAAACATAGAGGTGATTGAATTTCTGTTCGATTGCAATACTCTCAAATTTATTCTAGTAAGATTATGACAGTTCATTTGGCTCAAAACATTCTCTCCGTCTATCTCTCCCTCTGAGTATTTCTACACACAAAAAATAAACGTTAATAGAATAAAAAAAAAACCGTTGGTAGAATTAAAAGTTTGCATTGGTTCTTTTTGGTAGAAAGTCAGAAACTTTCAATTGCAAAAGACATGAACAGTTAAAATAAAAATGCTGAATCCTTTGATTTTAAAAATCACAACTTCTATGATTAAATTTTATAAATGTCAAATTAAAAGTTTCTACTTTTGAAATGAAATTGTAGAACTGTCAAATTAATAGTAGGTTAAGTCAAAATAAATTTTATCTTATTTCAAAATGAGAGCGTAGTTAATCAAATCAAATTTTATTTCTTTTTAAACATAAAGTTCATTGTTTTGATTTTTACGTATATATATATTTTTTAAATGTAAAACTAACAAAAACAAAATTAAAAATCTGGGGGCAAGACAACTACACTCAGAGTAAATATATTTGCAGCGAGTAAATTTGAGTTACTCATATTTACTCAAAAATGAACAAAGTAGTCTCGATTTTCTGATCAAAGAAATATCATCTGACAGCATATTTCGTTTGAAGCATCTGTTCGCACATTTGACAGATCGAATCGCTCGTTTAACAAATCGAATTGTGGACAAACGAAATGCTACTGTGGTGGTTTGACTGCACGACGGTTTTACGGGGCTTGGATGCCTTTCAGGTGCCTTCCCTCGTTGGTGAGGATTGACACGGCCTAGGACGATACAGGAGTGACTGGAGTGACCCGTTCCAAAAGAAGAATGCTCCTTTTCGGTTACCTGAGGTACTACCTGTGCTTGAAACTTCGTTCATGGTCAATAGAATTGGTCCTTGACTGCTGATTGTGGTGTACTAAGTAGCTGCTGATTCTAGGCCAGATTAGGTCAGCTCTGGCCAGCTTCGCCAGCGGAAGAAAACCACTTCAACTTTAGCGCTTTGCCAGCAATCGTAAATGTATCATTGAAAAAGTGTTGCCAGATGTATTGCCTCTAGCAATGAATAAAATTTTATTAAAACAAGCAATTGACTGGATGTATTTAATGGTGAATAAATATCAGAAACTGAATATATTAAAAAAAAAAACCTTTTTATGCATTTTAGCGGTCCAATTAAAAAAATTACAGAAGATTGAATTCAACGCTAACAGAAAAGATGGTAACAGTGGCACAAACTATATTGCTCTAAGAATTGAATTTATTGAATTAATTTAGCCTAATCTGAACCACCCCAAAAGTCCCTACACAGAAATTTGAGAAAGCACGTCAACTAACTTTGCTTGACAGCATCGGTTTCAACATAATTTTCAATACAACAATGAGGTTGCTAAGAGTATATAAGATATTGAGCAGCGTGAGTTACTCAGAGCTACTCAAAATTAGCTTCGGTTTTACTCATGATCGATAGCTGTCTTGCCCCCAGTTAAAAATACTGAATTGTAGAATTGTCCACCATCCTCGTCAGCATCTGTTGAGCCGTCCATGCAATCCACTCCCCCTGCTTCAACCTTAAACTGTGGTGCTACCGTTTCAGCCATCTGGCTCAGAGTCCGGTGTGACCCAATCCGGAACGATGATCTTACTTTTGACAGATGCTGAAATTTCCGAAAAGAAAGCGATTCTATTATCATAAAAAAACTCTCAAGTCTGAACAAGGCATTATCGTAGATAAACTTACCATATTCATCCTGTGGTATCACCGTATTTTATTTATATTTTCAGCCGGTCTAGCTCACGGATGATCGGGTGAATGCAGCAGGGATTTGTTTTGAAAACTGGTCGAATATAAATTAATAAAGCAAGCTTTTCAATTCTCGTTTTGCGCGTTTTTATTTTTATTTACTCACGTTATTCAAAAACTAACCAGAAACGAGTAGAAACCTACCCCCGAAGAAGTTGTTTTGACAGTAAAACAATTTTTGATTTGAAAATCTGCACTTTTAAAACTACAAGTTAAAATCAAAACAACTTTTGGATTGAAAATAACCTTGTTGTTTCAAATATTTTCATAGTTCAAGTAACAAATTTTGGTGTACTTTTAAATTGAAAGGTTAATATTTTTACTGATACAATTTTCGTTTTTTGTGTGAGTGATGCACCGCTTTGCTCGATTGGAACAGCTTTTTTCAGTTTTGTGGTGACAGTCGTCCATACTTTTACTGTACACAGCAAAAAAAAAATGAAATTTCGATCAATGTAATTCAAGCTGATGTATGAAATAATGATGTAATAGCAAAAAGCAGATACAATATTACATCAATCGATATAATTTTGTTCGCAAAACCGATGTACATCGTACAACGTTATGTTACTCAACCGATGGATTGACCTGGTTGCAGCTGTTTGGATGTAAAATTCAACAACTTTTTTTTTCTGTGTAGGGCTTTAGTCTGTACAGCGTTTAAGGGAACGGATGGAAATTAGAAACACCGATGAGCTAAAGCAAATGCTTTTCTCAACACGGCAGCCGTTTCTTTTTGGGCAAACGCTTACAGATCAACCGAACCGAGAAATGTCAAAACGGTCAAAACATTTTGCGAGGCATCAAATTTTCCCAGCGGCCGCGGTTTTTGCTGTAATTTTCCTTGCCAAAAACAATTCACATAAATAGTTAATTTAAAAGGATTTACATACTTATTCCGCTTGCTTGTACAGTGTTGCAAAAACAAACACATTAAACAATGGCTCTTCCAGTGACGGAACCGGTAAATTCTCGAGTTTACATTGGCGGTCTAGGCGAGCTGGCTACCCGGCAGGACATGGAAGAACTGTTCAAGGATTATGAACCGTACAAGGATTTGAATCTGCTGCGGGGCTACGGGTTTGTGCAATTCCCTACGGAGGAAGCAGCGCAGAAGGCTATCGAGCGTCTAAATGGAGTGTTGCACAAGGGCCGGAAGTTGACGGTAAAGATAGCAAACGACAATCGCGCTAAGAAGGGCTTGCTTCCACGGGCTGGAGGCGGGCCACAGGGCGGACAGGGGTCAGCTCCTATTCGGGATCGATCTCCGATAGATGGGAACCGGTATGCCGAGGGATATCCTGCGAGAAGTATCTACAGTAATCTGTACCCCAGAATGGATATGGGAGGTTACGGCGATCAGATGATGGGTGGACATCAGGTTGCACCACAGGGTCAGTCGGAAAGTAACGACTGTGAGATAATTGTCGTTTCCAGAGATTTGACGTGAGTGGGGTGATTTTTGCCTTTCGTATGAATGTTTTAATGGCTCTTATTTTTATTCGTATTCTAGGACTTATGCTGAAAACATTGAATCCAGATTGAAGCGGAACGGTTTGACCGTTGATCTGCTCTTTCCGAACGATGATGTACCGATTGGTAAGGTCCTTTCCAACATTGCATCTCGTGGCAGCTATTATGCCATTCTCATCACACCCGAAAATCAAGAACGCAACAGCATCACAGTGAATGTATTGTACGGAGTCCCGGCGGAACATCGGAATATGCCAACCGACGATGCGATCATGTTCATCTGCAAGGACTTTGAGGATAAAATACGCTCTGAACAGGAGAAGGCTGCTAAATACCGGGTGGCAATGAGTTCTGCTGGTCCTGTCAATCCTCACATGATGTACCGTGCGCCACAGCTGTCGGATAAACACCCGGAAACGATTCAAAACATGCTCGGTCTGCTCGCGAATAACCGACAGCTGACCGTTCTCCAGTACGAACGGTTGATTAAATACCTATCCGATCGAAAGGAGCTGCAAATCAAGTACGAACTGGGTGAGGATACGGATTCTATATCAGCTAGTCGGTTACTGCCGGGCAAATCGAAAGCTGAATCAGAGAAGGAACTGCAGAAAAAGATTATGGACATTCTGAACAAGCCCTCCATTATTCCACCGAAAAGACTGCCGATGGAGCCGGAGAAGGAATTACGTTCCACCGGGTTTTCGTCGTTCGGGAATATTACGATTGCGGCTGCAGCGGCCGGTAGCTCTGGCAGCAGTGCAGCTCCGATTGGCACTAGCAGTAGCAGCGGTAGTAGTGTACCTATTGCCACCGCGACTCCCAAATTGTTGCATGATCCGAAAGTGCAGAAGGCACTGGATTCATTGCTACTTTCCGGCTTGGGTGGGGCACTCAAATTTTAACCGTAAGGACTTATGGAACTAGATTTTAGAATTCAGACGTCAAGGTAGGTCTTTTCGTGAACGTGCACTTTGGATTGGTTTTGTAGGGTGCTTGCTGCGAGACCTTACGAGTGGCAACTCTACAACATATATATGTCGATCATTCTCAGATGGAAACAAAAATCCAGCATAAACTTCATGTTGGAGTAATTGTAATAGGCGAACAGCATTACAGCATTGATTATGATGAATAAAGGAAAAGTATTGAGTGTAAGGCCAAAGCTTCCAAATACAATGTAAGAGAACTATCCTTGTTGGTCTCGCTACCTTTACCTTTCCTGGTCCAACGTCCTTGGGTGAGACTTCACCTGATTAAAAATGTTACGCCAACAGTTCGTGGTTCGTGGCTGCTTGCCACCAGTTTCTTGAACGCCGCACACTTACTAGATATTGTTCCACCTGGTCTCACTGCCTAGCTCGCTGTGCTCCAGATTTGAGATTTGAATTTTTGTCCGGCATTCTTACAACGTGTCCCGTCTATTGTACCTTCCAGCTGTAGCAACTGGCTGGATCCGGCGGATCTGTCAAATTTTAACCAAAAGTTAAAATAATCCACCAAATTTTTCAGAGGCTAAGTTGTAAGTAGTTTTTGTGTGGTATTATGTACAAGTTTACATTATCATGATAAAAAATTATTAAAATACCTTGGACTTTTAACACCGACAAACCGACATGAATGATCATACAAATTAGAAAGAAATTTGTGATCAAAGCACAAAACTGACATCTGCCGCCGTGTTCGCGAAAAATATGCATCTTAACCACGAACACGCGTACAAAATTTATGAGCTGGTTCGTGTCTAATCTGCTTCGGACAAATTATTTTTATCTAGATAAAACATTTCTATGGTTTTGACAGATGGGATCGCTGCACATTTGAATCGGTCGTTATGGATTCTCGATCAAGAGTTAAGTTAAAGTTTCATGTCGGTTTGTCGGTAACAGACCTACGCGACGAAATAAGGACTACGATTGGAAACTCGGAACATGGAACTGCAAATCGCTCGGACTCCCGGGCTGCGATAGGTTAATCTATGACGAACTTCAACCACGCAACTTCGAAGTCGTAGCACTGCAGGAACTTTGCTGGACGGGACAAAAGGTATGGAAAAGCGGGCATCGAGCGGCTACTTTCTACCAGAACTGTGGCACCACCAACGAGCTGTGAACCGGCTTTGTAGTGCTGGGTAAGATGCGCCAACGCGTGGTAGCCGATCAACGCGAGGATGTGCAAGTTGAGGATTAAGGGTCGTTTCTTCAAGTACAGCATCACCAACGTGCACTGCCCACACGAAGGGAGACCCAACGACGAGAAAGAAGCGTTCTATGCGCAGCTGGAGCAGGTGTATGACGTCGTCATCGGCGACATTAACGCTCAGGTAGGACGGAAGGCAATGTATAGACCGGCAATCGGGCCAAACAGCCTGCATGCCGTATCGAACGACAACGGCCAACGATGCTTGAACTTTGCAGCCTCTCGGGGTATGGTAGTTCGAAGTACCTTTTTCCCCCGCAAGGATATCCACAAAGCCACGTGGAGATTACCTGACCAACACACCACTACCTAGTTGCATTATGCATGCGTTCAAAACTCTCGACGGTGCATAACACCCGTCGAAGTCGAACGCCGCAATCCAACAATGAGCAATTACGAGACGCCGGAGTTGCCCAGGATTACGCGCAGCAGCTGGATGTTGCACTACCAATGGAAGAGCAGCTTGGCACAGCTACTCTTGAAGATGGCTGGAAGTACATCAGTTCTGCCATAAGTAGTACTGCTGCAGTGGCACTAGGTACTGCAATCGCGGATCGAAGAAATGACTGGTTTGACGGCGAATGCAAACTTTTAGTAGAGGAGAAGAATGCAGCACGGGAGAGAATGCTGCAACACCGCACGGGATTGAATGTGGAGCTATACATATAAGCGCGGAACAGACAAAACTCGGTTTTCCGAAGGAAGAAGCGTCAGTAGGAAGACCGAGATCGCGAGGCGATGGAAAATCTGTACCGCGTAAACGACACACGGAAGTTCTATGATAAGCTAAATAGTTCGCGCAAAGGCTACGTGCCGCAAACCGATATGTGCAAGGACTTGGACGGAAACCTTCTCACGAACGAGTGTGAGGTGATTGAGAGGTGGAAGCAGTACTATGACGAGCACCTCAACGGTGAAGCAGCAGAAAACGAAGGTGGCACGGCAACAGACCTTGGAGCACGCGCAGACGACAACAGACTACCGGTCCCTGATCTTCAAGAAGTTCAGGAGGAGATCGGTCGGCTGAAGAACAACAAAGCAACTGGTGTAGATCAACTACCAAGTGAGCTATTAAAATACGGTGGTGAAGCACTGGCTAGAGCGCTGCACTGGGTAATTGCCAAGATTTGGGAGGAGGAGATATTACGGGAGGAGTGGATGGAAGTTGTCGTATCTACAAGAAGGGTGACAAGTTGGATTGTTGCAACTACCGCGCGATCACACTGCTGAGCGTCGCCTACAAGGTACTCTCCCAAATTCTACGCCGCCGCCTGTCACCATTTGCAAGAGATTTCGTGGAGCAATACCAGGCGGGATTCATGGGTGCCCGCGCTACCACGGACCACATTTTCGCGATTCGGCAAGTTCTGCAGCTATGGCAGATTATTCACGATTACGGATTTCCGGAAAAACTGACCCGATTGGTCAAGGCGACGATGGATCGAGTGATGTGCGTTGTTCGAGTATCGGGGACACTCTCGAGTCCCTTTGAATCTCGAAGGGGGTTACGGCAAGATGATGGACTTTCGTGTCTGTTGTTCAACATCGCGTTAGAAGGTGTGATCAGAAGAGTTGGGATAGACACGAGTGGCACGATCTTCAGGAAGTCCATCCAGCTTCTTGGCTTCGCCAATGACATCGACATCATGGCACGGAATTTTGAGACGATGGCGGAAACGTACATCAAACTGAAGGCTGAAGCTAGGCGGATTGAACTTGCCATCAACGCATCAAAGACAAAATACATGAAAGGAATAGGTTCTAGGGAAAACAATGTTAGCCTCCCATCCCGAGTTCAGATTGACGGTTACGGAATCGAGGTGGTCGATGAGTTCGTGTATTTAGGCTCACTGGTGACCAGCAGAGAAATTCAAAGACGCATTATGGCAGGGAATCGTGCCTACTTTGGACTCCGGAGGACGCTCCGGCCGCATAAAATTCGCCGCCGCACGAAGTTGACTGTCTACAAGACGCTGATTGGAGTGCAGATGGATGACGGAACGTGGAGGAGGCAAATGAACCACGAATTGCACCAGCTGCTGGGAGAACCATCCATCCTTCACATTGCAAAAATTGGGCGACTACGGTGGGCTGGGCACGTCGTAAGAATGCCGCACGACGACCCAGTGAAAATGGTTCTAGAAAGCGATCCAACAGGAACAAGATGAAGAGGTGCGCAGCGGGCAAGGTAGATCGACCAAGTAGAAGGTGACCTGCGGACCCTTCGTAGACTACGAGGCTGGCGAACTGTGGCCATGGATCGAGTAGAGTGGAGACGACTTTTTTTTTTCTTTTTTGTGGTTGTCTTTACAGACGGCTAAGACCATAGTTTGGTCCATCTCGCCTCGGTGTTGTCGAAGTAGCATTGTTGCCAGCTGGCATGTTTTTAATTCAAATTTGTATTTTGCAGAGTTTGATGAATTTTGTTATTTGAGTCATGCTTGCTTCGCATTTTTCTTTTAGTATGTCTTCCAGAGACTTACGATATTCCAGCGCCGGAAAATTGCAGCGAATGTTATTGTATTTGTGACACATATAAAGCAAGTGATTTAGATCTTCCGTTTCTCCACAGTAGTCGCATTATTCATTTAACTCCCACTTCCATTTCGCTTTTCTGTCTTTCGTTAATACATGTCCAGTCCGTATTCTACTTAACGTCTTGATATCGCTGCTTTTGAGTACGAGATTTTTGTACCATATTTTCCTGAGTGGAACTGCTTGTTTTTTTTTTTATACCAAAGCCCTTTGTCCTGGCTCATCTTCTCGAACTTTCTCGTCCATTCTTCCCATGTCTCGTTTTTGGCCAGCAGTAGTGCATCATCCACCGTTAAACAGTTGACAACGGACTGCCTTCCTGCTGTTCTTTTAACTGCTTCTTCATCCGCACGGTTGTTGCCCTCTATGCCGGAATGGCTTGGTATCCACTGGATCTTGTGGGACTTGCATTCTTGCTTTTGAAGTATTTTGTATATGTTCCACGCCACGTAATTATTACTCAGCTCGTTCCTGTTTTCTAGAACAGCACACGCACTGGCCGAGTCGGTCAGGATGACTGTTTTTTCATATTTTTCCTCCATAGCCCACTCGAGGGCCACTTGAATCAAGCTTTCCATGCTCGGTAATGGCGGTCTGTTTGTATGAATAAATGTATCCTTCACTGTGCTTTTTGACACTAACTGGAGGGCGTATGTTGTTCCATTTTCTTCTGTTCCTGGGAGAGGGAAAGGGAGGGGTCAAAATCCGAACATCCAGATAGCGTCAAAACGCACAGTGAAGGATACATTTATTCAAACCAACAGGCCGCCATTACCGAGCATGGAAAGCTGGATAGCCATCCCGCATAAACGCGAACCATAAATTGACCTTACCTAAAATGGTTAAAAATTGTTTATAATCCCTGCTAAACTTTAACTGAAATGGTTATGGAACTTTACATGAACGTTTAATGATAAAATTTCAACCTTATGTATTATGGTTTTTAGGAACTGGATTGTAAGGTTGTTAATAACCATTACCGTTTCAAATTCTTGTTTTCTCCATACATTTTCGGAAAGAGAACTATATTAGAACCTTTTAACTAATGGTTTGAGAACTTTAATGGTAATGGTTATGGTAGTCAGTAAGGTCCACGAATGGTTTTGTAACATCGATCAACTTTATGTGGAATATATCGTAAATTGGTTGCCTGTAATTTACAGATTACCAATTCACGATATATTCCACGTAAAGTTGAGCGATAATACAAAACCATTAATGGACCTTACTGGCTACCATAACCATTGCCATTAATGTTCTCAAATCGTACATATAGTAAATAGTAAAATAGTAAATAAATAGTAGTAATAGTAAAAACACAGACAAACAGACATAACACATTGAATATTTCTCACTGTAAAACATCGTCGTTAAAACATTACCGCCATCTCTTGAGTACACTGTGGTGGGTAGTACGCT